ATGGGAAATCTAGGCTCATTGATTTTCCACCACTTTAAGATTTTAAAGTCATCTGTTTCAGGCCCAAAATCTTCAGCAAGATATCTTTCTAACTCTGATTTAGTACCTAAACCTCCGGTCACTTCCTTATGTTTCTCAAATTCCAATTTTGTTCTCATTGTTCCTCTTTTCAAAAAGCTACCATAACCACTGACAATAGCTGTTGTGTTTCCAAATGAAGTAGATGATGTTCCTATTGAATTTTTTTTTACATAATAATAAATCAAAGAATCCATATAATTTTTCACCTCTAAAATCAATTTTTTCCCTTCTTTTTCTCCAAACATCCTCACAATTGCAAAAAGGAACATATTCAAGCTTGTTACGGGGATCCAAAATTGATGCAATAAAGATCATCTTGTTCATTTTTTCAGGTTCACCCCAATACTTGGCAAATTTTTCTTTCATTTTTTTTTGCCATTTCTTTCAAACTAGTATCTTCATGTTCCATCCACTCTTTCAAAATAAGATCAAGCTCACAAATTTCAACAAAATGCACATTGGAAGTGACATAAATAGAACCAGAGACCCTCAAAGTAAGCAAATAAAAAGCTTCAAGAAATTTTACCGTTATTCTCACATTATCCCAGTCAGCACTTGTGAGATCACCTGCACTAGTTCCATCTTCACGTACATAGGTACGAAGATGATACAACAATCCAATATCAAAGAAACTATATTTGTCAAAGGCAAGCTCAAATTGTTGTGTTGTGTCTAACATCATGTATGTAGAGTTCCATCGAGTTGAAACATCTAAGCATAATGATCTCTTGGAAGTTAACTTTTGAGATTCACAACATTCTTTAAACTTTCTAATCCTAGCGGGAGATTGTCTAATGTATCTCACAGCTTGTCTAACTCTCTTGATAGAAACACCAATTTCTTTCAACCCATCTTGTACAATGAGATTAAGTATGTGAGCCATACATCTAACATGCAGGTGTTTACCATTCATTATATTAGTTCCCCAAGTAGTCAATTGTTTAGACACTTCTCTTACTGTGACATCATTGGAACTAGCATTATCTACAGTTATAGTAAATACATTTTCCAACCCCCAATCAAGCAAGCAATTAGTAATTGCCGATGCCATATCATCACCCTTACGACTAGAGATAGGACAAAAGTTTATTATCCTTTTATGCAATTTCCAATCTTTGTCAATAAAGTGAGCAGTAAGACACATATAGTTTATTCTTTGTATAGAAGTCCAAGTATCTGTTGTAAGACAGATTTTAGGACGTGCTTCATTGAAGGAGTTCGTCAAACTGTCTTTGTTCACAATAAAGTGCATAACAATCTCTTGTCAATGTTCTACGAGAAGGAATTTGAAATTGAGGCATTGTGACTCCCATAAACTTCTTAAATCTTTCCTTTTCAACAAAACTAAATAGCAGTTCATCCAAAATTATCATTTGAGCTAAAGCTCTCCTACTAAGTGCTTGATCAAATTTCCAAGTGGTAAGCACCCCTTCATTTGCCCCATTTGAAGCTGGTAGAAAACTGATTTGTGTTTGACTATTTTCCATGCTACGGGGCATTTTGGGACACTTAGTGAGATGATTGTTCATTGATGTAGTACCATTACCTTTCGTAGCAGCAGCATAAGTTTTTTGACAGTAGTTACATTTTGCTCTTTTAGCTCCACTAGGATCATCATACTTCTCAAAATGTTTCCAAGCATCAGATCTAGGTTGCATCGCTTTCCTTTTCTTTGGAGCTTCATCAGGACTGTCTGGACTGAGACCTTCAGTATTAGGTATGCTATCATTTGAACCCCCACCTTCGCAGGTTTCGCTTACCCTACTTCCATTTTCTTCCATCTACAAAAAAGAATACAAGCATAACAATAAAATACTGAGCAGTGAGCTTTTCTTGTTTTATAACAAGTTAGAACCTCGCAGCAACACTGAAACCAACAAATATTACAAGAAAATGGACATCACATTCAAGAGTCAAGACTTCTTTCAACAATATATATGTTGCATGCACCTTTAAGTCTTTAAATACTAACTTTTAGCAGAAAAAAAATAAAAAATAAACTGAAACGAGAGAAAGAAGAGAAGATCGGCGAGGAGTAGAGAACACACAAAAAAAAAGAAATGAGCGAAATATAACAAAAATTAAGCTTACCGCCACAAGAAATTTGACGACAATGACAGATCCCTAGCGTATTTGGGAAAACCACCAGTGTATCAATGGAAGCCCTAGCGTATTTGGGGGGAGGAACTGCCGATAGAGAGAACTGAGAAGAGAAGAAAAGTCCTAGCCTAAGAATGGGAAAAGAAAAGGAGCTGATGAGTGAACTGAGAAGGACCCTAGTGTATTTGGATTTTGGGCAATTGGGTTTGGGATGGGCTGATTTTTATGAGACTTAAAATTGGGCCTTAGTCTATATAAGTATGGAATATATATTTTAAAGAATCCATGTACTAATAATTCGGTTTTTTCGGTTAACCGAAAAAAATAAATCAATAACCGACGACCGAACCGAAAAACTGAATTTTAAAAATTTTAATTTGAAACCGACCGAAAAAACCGAAACCGAAATTAAAAAAAAAATTGGTTCGGTCGGTTTTTTCGGTTCGAACTGATATATGCCCACCCCTACTTACAATGGTTTAACTACATTAATCTAAGTATTATTTGATACTGAATACAACAGGGAATAACTTATTCTGGTATAAGTACTACTTATCATAACTAGTTCATGAACCAAATGAACCTCGTTCAGGTTGGATGTCTAATTCTTCACATGATCAGAGTCAATGTCTTCATGTGTGCACCTAGAATTACGTCATTGTAGATTGTGTTATATAAACATGCAAAGGAGTCTATACATGTTATATTTTTGTTATTTTAATCTAAAACTAAGCATTTGATAGTTCTTACCGCTGGTGCCATATATAAGCATTTGATTAGTTCTTATCGGTGGAGCTATCTATTTCCATAATTCCATGCTACGGGAGTTTACTGATTAATAGTACTATGCAATTCCACTGTTTCGTTTGTCTTGTTGCCCGAGAATGGCACTTCGTTGTGAAACTCTCTATTCCTCCCTCAAGGTCTACTATTTTATGGTTAATAGCATCAGAAAGAAATCATTGAGGCAGAGGTAGTAGTAGTTTCTTGATTTAATGCATTTCGTCTCTCATCCGGTTGGGCAAATTTTATTGCCTAAGACGTGCAGAAATTCAGCATTTGGTCTTCAGCTTATTACTTTCTTTTATCTTTTACAATTATATGTAGCATGGATATTTCTTTTTAAGTCCAATGTCAGTTGTATACTTATTCTAGTAAGATTATGGACTTTGTTCTGAAATTGGATTGGTATAACTTCTTGTTAGATATGGGACCGAAGAGTTCAGCAAAGTTCATCATTTTACAATGGACTAAAGTTTAGGGTACACTACACTCTTCTGGCTTTGGGTTTCTCCTCTAGATCTTTTTTTCTTTCTGAATGTTGGATTATTAGGCAATTGCTTGTTCACTTCTGTGTAATGAACATCATACTGTGTTACGTACTGTTTTCATATTGATTACCACTTACTGTGTTACGTATTGTTTTCATGTTGATTACCACTTCGGCGACAACATTATCGTTAGGAGATTAGTAGGTCATCAATTGAAAAAGAAAACTGAATGTTATAATGCATAACAGATTCAAGTTAATATGGGATATATGCATACGCTTAGCAAGATGCATGCCCTTTGATATTTTTCCCACAAGGATAACTTTTTACATGATGAGTGATCATTTTACAGTATGGAGGATGCAACTTCAGTATGGGGAATGATTCCAAACAAGAGCCCCATGTTTGCCTTCATCTTAGTCTGACAGACTATAGGTTCTTATATATTTTTCTTCCCTTCCTTCCTGCTTTCCACAATTTTATTAATATCTATCTAGTTGATGTACATATGATGGAAAACCTAGAGAGATTTTTTTCCTCTGGTGAAATACAGCCTATTTAATCTGAGAGTTGAAGAATGTAGTACTGAAGTTTAAGTACGGGTAGGGCCAAGATAGGGTAAGTACTTTTGGCACTGAAAAGGATAAGAAATTTAAGTTGGTTCACCAGGCTCTAATGCAACCACATACATATGTTTAAAAATCATAATGGCTGTGTTATGTCAAAGCAGTTATTCTCTCTTAGATAGTTAGGTTGAAGGACAAAATTTCAGTTATTTGTGCGACTTCATTTTCTCTATTTAATTATCAGTATACCAGTATTTTTCCAAGAAAACAACGTTCTCTTTTTGCTTTTAGTACTAGTATTGGGTCTAGACTGTTCCATATGATTGTGCATCTGAAGTTCCTATCCTGCAAATGTTTATATAGATAGTTTAGGAGCACTTTGACACGTGATCGGTTGAGTGCAATTTCTTGTTCTCTTAGTTATTTTCTTTCTTTTTTCAGATCTCCTCGTTGACAAAATAACATTTTCAGTCCTTGTTTGTCCTAAATGGAAAAAAGATAAAAGATAAAAAAAAAAAAGAAAAAAAGGAATTCTAGTCAATAGAAATATGCTTGAGAAATTTGACACGAGCAATTACTTACGTTAAAAGGTCATTTTATTTCTTTTACGAGAGACCAATGCAAACATATTTTTACCTGATATGATTTTTTGGCGGAAGATTTGCACCTGAGATTAATCTTTTCCTGTGAAAGCAATATGTGATAGTGGTAGAAATGATGTAATGGATAAAAGAGGAGTTCTCTGAAGTAAAAGAACTCTGTTTTAGTTTGCGAGCTGAACTCATCAAATGCTCATATACTCTCGTCATTTCTTTACAAGAGAGAAACCAGATTGCACGTTCCTCTCTTTTGTTTCCCTCCAATAAGAATTTTTGTATGAACTGACGCAGTTTCTATAAATAAAAATCTGTTGTTACCAATTATTCTGTATTTGCTGCTTTTTAAAACTTAAAAAAAAAAAAAAGAAGACGAGAGAAAATGAAGAAAAAATTAAATATGTATCTTGACCAGACATGAATGTCATATTTGTCAGATTGGGGATCCCATCCACTGAACTGTATGGTATATTTGATAGGTCAACCCAGAAGTTGATATGGGAGATGAAAATACTTTACCTATTTGTTTGTATGCATTTCAACCTGCTATGCTTGTTGTTAATAATTTTGCTTGTCTTGTTGATCATTTGATTTCTGACCTAAGTTTTCAATACAATAGCTCGAGAAATGCATCTCGTGTAAATGTAATGCTGATCGTGTTCTTCATTTCTCTGATTTCCTTCTTGGTTGAAACTGAGACAGTATTTATTTCTACGATGTCTGTGCTTCAATAATATTATTCAATGAAAGGTCATTTTATTTCTTTTACGAGAGAAATAGAAAGAAATTAGAACTAACAAATTATCTTACGGAAGAAAAATTTTCTACTCAGGACTTTTGTGGGCACAAACTTAGGTCCTATATGGGAAAGATTTGTAGTTCCATCTGAAGGTAAAATTTTCTGCTATGATTGTTTGTTTGAACTATCTTTCTTCCTATTGGAAGTGATTGTATCCTGTATACAGTGGCGGGGGCAGGTATTTTGCTAAGGGGTTCAAAAAAGGAATAAGTTAAAAAATTTAATGAAATTGTAGCTAGTGGGACTCATAATGGTTTTGAATCCATTTGACCACTAAGCCATACTTTTGGAATGTGTGAAGGGGATTCAAAACATAATATATAGAGGTAAAAACCAGATTTTGCCTTATATATACCATGCAATTTTTCGGCGAAGCGGGTTCGGGTGAACACCCTTGCGCCCCCCCTAAATCCGCCCCTGCTTGTATATCTCTATTGTATGTGTAATCATGCAAAAGTAAGAAGCGCAATCTTGACTTGCTTCTTTAGCATCTTTTTCTATTTGTCTTTTCAACATTTCAACATAAGGTCTGCGGCAAATGTGATATTTAAGAATCTATACATAGAATGGGCTATTAGAACTACATCTGACATTGCACAGAGCAGGCAGTTTGAGAATATAAAAAAGGATGGAAATGTTCTAACTCATATTGCAGTAAACGAGACTGCAATTCATTTGTGCTAAAAACTATGACATGGATTTTTGCAGATGATTGCGAACAATGTCAGCATATATCAAGTCCCCTCGGTTATGGTGCAGTTGTTGAGACTTCTGACATAAGAATACTTGTGCTTCAACGAAGTAATAAAGTTGGAGAATTCCCAGGATATTAGTTTTTTCCTGGAGGCCATCCGGGGGTATGTCATCTGCATCAATAAGATGTTGTAGGGAATTTTTAATAAAATGATAAAGAAATTTTGCTGAGCATCAGCTTTTAACAACTCAAAATGGAAGTAGGATTTGTAAAATTGTTGTAACCCAACAAGTAATGAACCCACAGCCTTTCATCTTCACGTGCTTGTTTGGCCTCCCAATTTAAAACCATCTACGACAGGCTTTTTCAAAAAAATAAAGGCAGAATAGGTAAAACCCTCCCTAAACTTGACATTTTTTTAATAAGTGTACACCTACGTGATTTTAATTACCCCCTATGTTTACTTTTTCGGATTTTATTACCCCCTGACCTGCCACATGGCAGTGGAAGTTGGTTCAAATGGCTTAGTGCGCGTGGGGGAGTATATTTTTTGCCACATGAGTTGAATATTTCCCTTTCCCAATCCTAGAACCATTCCTATCGGTAATAATTTCCCCCAACGGTAACAACCCCCTTCTCACCCCTATTTTTTGGCTTCTTTCTAAGTCTTCAGCATTTTCTTTGTTCTCACATTCTTTGTCCAGCCAAATTCCA